GCTTAATTCAGTGTAATAGCCTGGCTATGTGTAAAAAAACACACTACTGTGTCTTGAAACCAAATGCTCCTCATATTCAACATAAATAACTGTGTTACCTAAGTTCTTTGTTTTTCCTACATTGCATTATTAGACCTTATTACTAGACTGATATCTTTAATTGTTTTGGTTTTAGACAACTGCCAAACAGATACAGAATTTTTGAGAACAAATATGGTAGTGCATATGTTACATTATTGTACTTATATAAACAATCTTGTCACTTCATGCATGAAGTATTTAAATTGTTATTACCATATGGAACAGCTGTTGCTTTCATTGTAGTTAAGAAATCAGTCATATTGAACGAATGTCTCTTTAATACTTCAACCAAAAAAAAAGGACGGGGAGAGAGATATGAGCACTGCCAAGTTTGAGACCAATTTCTGAGCTAAAGAAGTGTAAAAGTACTGTTTATTGGAATGATTTCAATTTACTCTCTGGATTTTCTTGCAATTTGTATAAAGAATTATTTCAAATTAATCATGAATGATCAATACAAGTGATGATAAATATTGTAATGTGATGCTTTATTGTCAAAAGCTGCTATATCCCATGCTAGATGTTTGTCTGGATTATGTTCCCATGGTGGATACTTTTGGCCAATCTTCAAGTCTAGGTAACAACAATTTTTACATTTATGATCATCAGGGGAAATCATAACATGTATGGTAGAAGATATATAAAAGAATAACAAATGTCAGCTATATGTTGTGAATACTTCACTGTCAGAACATGCGACTCTTTGTTTTCATCATCTGTCATTATATTTCTAATTTCAAAGAAAATCCTCCTTTCACTTTGCTCTAGATAAAGCTCTTTAATTGTTTTAAAAGCTGCTCTTGCATGTTTTGAAATCAAATGGGGACATATCCAGTAAATTAAAAAAAAAGATTAATTAGATAAGCTTTCAAGCCTATTCTTTGAACAATTTGCTTATGAAAGCTTTTGATCTTTGTTTTATTGGGTGTTTAGTTCTCAATGATACATGCAACAACACATCATGAGTTGGACATTTTAACTTTAAAATCTACAGAATAAGTCCAGTGCCACTCACCAGAGCCTGCTGTTAGCATTTTCAGGTAACATTGTTTTAATCCCTTCAGGAGTTTCAGAACTGCATATATTCAGTGCAATTAGAGATTTTTATGTCTATTTGGTAATAGTAAAATTTGATGTTTAAATTGTAAAACATTTTCAGGAGAGAAGTGCTATAACATTGAGTTTTGTCCTGTTTCTTCCCTCAACAGATCTTTTTCTCTTAAATAGTTTTAGAGTATGATACAAATAGTTTGAAGAAATCATTCTTATCCTAATTATCAGTGACTAGTGCTTCTTGTTTCCATTTAAAAAGATAAAAACAAATTGTGGATATAACAGATTTTAATGGACAAGTACATTTTCTTTTTGTATTTTTGTGAAAGGACAACATTTTGTGTGTAGCAGGTGTTTGTATTGTTGACACTGGAGTACAAAAGTATATGAAGTTTACATAATTATCAGATGTATGTGTGTTGCATGTATTTCAAAGGACTACCTCTCTGTGACTATTGATTTTATACCTCTATTTAGTATTACAGAATAAGATAGTTTGTAATAAGATATTCAAGTTGAACTTGAAAATATTTTGAGATAATGTTTATTTTTAGCTTCTACTGTAAACAACTCTTAACACCCAGGTTGGTGTATCATCAGCAATACCATGAATTGATCGCTCAGGGGTTGCGTATATGTCAACGTATTGCATACAGATATAATAGGTTAAGAGAAAATCAATCATGCATCCCCATGGGTGTGATATTCCAATTGTGTATGATATGATATAAACAAGAGAAAAGTATACCCCAGAGCAATTTAAAGTCGGAAGATTTTAGCTGATTGCAGAAAACATGTCTTTATGTCTCGATATTTGTTGGCAAACTTGAGATAGGTAATGTATTTCACCAGAAGTTTTCTTGGTAATATAGAAATATCAGTGAAAGTTTGTAGGTAATAACTCTATCAAATATAAACTATCCTTAAATCTGTTGGAGGAAAAACAGGGAAAGTAACAATTACAAGTATAAAGGCAACCTGACACTTGATACTGAGCCACACCCATTAATCTCAGCATATTGGGTGTTGAGGTCAGAGGACAAAGGTCACATAGAGTATCAGATCATAGGTTAGAACTTGATATGAAATAAATTACTAGGACTGTTGTTCCTGACTCTGATGACAAGCTATATATTATAGGCCTCTGAAGAACACCTGAGTTTTCTATGTGTTATGATCTCACACAGGCTGGCATGTGGTACGTAGCAGATAGAGTGCCATATTAAAACATTCATTTAAGATCAATGAGGTTTCACCTACTAAAGGCTAGGTCTAGCACTGTTTGTAGATTAGAATATCAGCAGTGTTTCATACCAACGGTATTGTTACTAATTTTTTCTTTCTGGAATCCCGTAAATCCTTTTCATTGACAAACCTATTTGAAAGTGTTTGCGTGGTACAAGTGAAATGGTCATAGTTTAAGAGAATGGTCACCAACCAGCACAGAGATCATTGACTAAACAAAAGTCATTAACCAGCCGTCAACATGTCAACACCAGTTGTCTGACCTTGGACTCCACATTTAATACATAACCAGTGGATTGTCCTGACAGTCTTATTAAACATAGCCAGGATTAACCTGATATGAGACAATTGATGTGGGCAGAGCAGGGATATTGTTAACAAATTGGGACAGGTAGGAAGGAGCAAGGAAATGAATTAAGATGGTTTAAATTAAGCAGACACAGTCCACCACGGGACCAAATGAAATATTTGACTTATCCAATGGTTCGACTTAGCCATACACGTGTTTCTATAAACGGAGACATTATACATGGATAATTGACCCTATTTTCATCCATTGTTTACCAGTATTTGTCTCATAACATGGCATGAGAGTAATGAATAAGTAACAAATAAACAAAAATATTTTGTAATTTTGTACACCAACAACTTTTTTTCTTTAAATAAACAGTTACCAGTACAAATATAAAACAAAGAAAGTAATATGAAACACTCATCATTAAATTGCAGCACACCTGTGGATATGCACCCAAACTCTCGTACACTTAACTTGGTGATCGACACTTAGAGAAATACATATATTGTGCTAACAGTTATATCTTTAAGAGCAACAAATCCCAACAACAATATTTTAAAATAAAACTCCATATAAATATGTATTCATGAACATTCTACATTGATATAACACTGATAGCACTGAGGTGGATTATGAAAAAAAGGTGAAGCCTCGGCCACGTCACTGAAGCATAACTTTAAATTTATCAATATCATAACTGTAAAAAAAAAGTATGAAATAAAACTTGCACTTCGTATATGTACATGTATATCAGTATATGTATTTAAAATCAGAAACAAATGTGTTAATGACAAATTAATATCTTTATCAATCTGCATCTGGTAGTTATCACTGGTTTTTTCCCTTGGTTTCAGACAGACATATTCCTAAAAAAAGTAAACAAAACACAATTGATTTATGGTTAACAGACTACAGTTTTCTTTGTTTGAAGTTTGGTTGCCTAATTCTGTCACCTGTGCATCTGAATAAACACACGGGTTAATTAATGTTTGATCAAAAATTACAAAAGGGCTCGGTAACACAGTTATGGCTGGTAGATCACTCTGGCATTCAGACTGAAGCCAGGAAATTTTTACCTGAGACAAGGTGACGCCTGAATGTTCAACTCAATATAGGAAATTTTGGTAGAATATAGAAGGGATGGACCACAAAATATATTCGACACAAATGCAATATTCGACTCAACAGTGTTAGAATAATCCATGTTTAATTTACTAAGGAAGAGAAAAAAATTGGTACTGAACAAAACATTGGATTTATCTGATGTATTTGTTTCAAAATACATTTTGTTGCCATTGTTGTTATAACAGTTGCTACAGCATTACCAGGAACCAAGAAGGCTGTTTCCATCACACCCACTAGTGTAGAAAAATGCCAACTTTTTAAAAGTTAAACCAAATACAACATTAAAAATTGAGGTTAAAGCAGTTACAACAGTAAATGTTGAAATTAAACTGTCTTAGAAGTTAATTCAATAGTGAATTTGAAGTTGAAGTATAAAATCAGAGCATTCACATTAGAAAAGACAAGGCCATGCAAACTGATGCCTATTGTAAGAGAATAATATACATAGATATAGACATACACATGTGTAGTATCTGTCAGAACTTTGACAGCAAACTTGACCCTTGGTTTATTGCTTTCAATGGTGAGAAAGTATGTCTCCTCATCTTCTCTTACCAAACAATGTGTCAAGTGTTCTACCAGCTCATGTCTGTAAATTAATTCTCCGTGCATGTAAATATGATCATTTCAATGATTAATGCCAATATTTTATCCAACAAGTGCCCATGACTAAGCTTGTTTTGCCACAGTCTGCCTGCAATCCACAGCCAATAAAGGGCCAGGGGAAAGTTTAGGGACTTAAAGCACACTTGTAAAGGACATAGTTTAGGGACACTGTCATGTCCGCTTGTTACTCAGACCCTTAGTTGGGCCAACCACTTGTGTCCAGAGGCTAGCACACCAATCCTTTGCCCACCCTCAAGATAAATGTCTGTCACATGAACTTTTTGACTCTGACAGGAACATATACCCTGAGGCCAATTTTTTGTGTCGGTCTTGAATCTTGTTGGCCCCAGGTTTGGGAGTTCTAGAAACGGTTAAGGTTGATCTATTGTTGATATGTCACTTGAAGTGGAGGGAGGAAACTAATGACTTGAGCTGATGTGTCTGTTTTGCTCTTCCTGTATGTTGATACGACAACGGCAGATCAGACCCACATGTGATGTTGGACACTTGTAAAATTTGTCGAATTATGATGGTGTAACATGTGAAGAGGGCTGACGATGATTTAGTTGTACTATATGCAATGTGATTCAACAGATGAACACTCATATACAAGAAGATTTAGTTTCTTATTTAAAGTTAACCAATGAATTCAACATTTCTTCATGTCTAAGGATTATGTATGCTGATGAATTAGGTGATCAGAGGAAACATTTATAGATTTGTCAGTAAATTGTATGAAAATAGTTTTATTGAGTTGTAAGTCTTGTTCATGCTGTGGATGTACTAACAAAAAAGGAGACGGAGAATTTTTATCATAACATCAATCAGGATAAAGGTTTTGTGTGTGTTGCTGTTCCACGATGACTATGGTAAGTCTTCACTTCCTGTCCATATACTGATGCCAGTCTAGGCTCACTTCCTGTTTACTCAACTGTAGTTTCATATATCAATTTACATGAGATATTGGAAGATTTCTATGTATTTATCTATCATTAATAATGATTCACTGAAAGTTAGAGGTATATATTGTATTAAATTGATATTTTTTGTGAGTGTGTATCAAATGGTCAGTTACCTGTGTCTATCTACAGATGTGGACATAGTTACTAATGTATTTGTTTGAATTCCTTTTATAATCTTTTTAAATTCTGGTTGAACAATGAAAATTTTGTGATACATTGACAGATTTAGTTGTATAATATTGGGCACATAAAATCAAATATTTAAACTTAATATCAAAATGAATTAAGAAATCTGAATGGAGTTCAAAGTGAGCAGACACTAATGAAAGCATACTTACTGCAAATGGCGTTTTATTGGCAGTCACATAGCAATCTTACTATTTACTAAAGCATGGATAAAATACTATGACATGAATAGAGTGAAAGTGAAATGTCACAAGGAAGTTGATAAACATGCAGGTCAGTGTTTACTGTGAAATAGACGCATTAGTAGACAGGAAGAAATCGATTGTCAGAAGGCTCCTTGTAAGTTTCAGTCACCTAGATATCGTACAGCTGAGTAGGAAGGATGGATGCCATAGATTTTGTTTGGCCAGCATCCATATGGAGTTATAGATGCAATACAGACTATTGATTCTGAGGGCTAGTAATGAGGTCGAAGTAGTTGCTAGAATTGACCATAATCCCTAGTGGATGGGATTGACCATTATTCAAGTTTGATCTGTCGTAGAGGACTGGAAAGCCAGATGTGTCAGTGTTTGCTAGTGGGCTCAGAACAAAGCCTATGTCGTCACTCTACTATGACAGCTTGAAGACATGTCCTATCAATTACACATGGATTTGTTACTAAGCAGGAAAAATAAAGTTGTATTTATCAGAAACATTTTGATGATACCATAAAACTCTCTTTTTCAGAGATCTAGGTTTGTTTCTTATGTCCTAATAAAACATTCATAAGTGAAAATGTCTTCAAATTGAAATAACCTGTATCATAGCTCATGATGAATTTAATCAGCGAACTATAAGGATATAGGAGCATGTCATGACCACTGGGAAACGAAACTAGATGACAAGTATGATGACATTAAAAAGTGATTGATGTGGTGAAAGTATAACCTAGGTACAGATATGAAATATTGATTATCAGGATCAATGGTTACTCCTCCATCCACACAGACCAACCTGATGAATACTAATTATTATTGTAACAGGTCTATCCAATTCCAACAAAACCTCAGTCAAATTTGTAATGGGAGCAGAACATGATAAAAAATTGATTTTACCACAGACCACAGATCTCTCTGATGGAGTGATTTTTTCACTGCTGGATCAGAGAAGTAAAAAGATTCAGAGGAGGTTGGTTTATAGCTAGAAAGTCTGTAGGAGGAGAGCTCAGCTGGAAGAGACTGAGCTAGTTGAATAAAGCTAAGTTGTAAGGTCTAGGGAAAGTGGGCATATAGGTGGGAGGGTTGCTAAACTGGCAGATTTGTAGGAGGTTGGTTTGCTAAGGAGGAATGTTTGGTGGCAGTTGGATTAACTAAGCTGGAAAGTATGGAGGAGGTTGGTTTATGTATGTATGCTAGAAGGTTTAGAGGAGGATGGTTTGCTTAAAAGGAAGGTTTGGTGGCAATTGGTAAACTAAGTTTGAAGGTTTGGATGAGGTTGGTTTAGGAACACATGCTGGATGGTTTGGAGGGGATTTATTTAGGTGCGGAAGCTGGAATCTTTAGACCGGGTTGGTTTAGGTAGGCTGGAACGTTTGGAGGAGGCTAATGGCTAATTAACTGAGCTGGAAGGTTTCATGGTGGTTGAACGTTGGTAAGCTGGGCTCAAAGGTTTTATGTTAGTTGGTTAGTTAAGCTGGAATATTGGTAGGAAGTTGGTAAATTAAGCTGAAAGCTTTGATAATGGTTGGATCAAGGTCAATACATACATCTTGGATTAGAAGATTTTAACGGTTGATACAGCAGCTTTAAAGTTTGTTGGAGGTTGATAAGCAAAGCTGGAAAATTTGTAGGAGGTTGGTTTGCAGAGCTGGAATGTTTGTAAGAGGTTGGAGGAAAGTTCAGTTTTCTGGAATATTTGTAGGGGGTTGGAGGTAGGTTAGCTTAGCAGTAAAATTTGTAGGGGGTTGGAGGTAGGTTATATGAGGTGAGAGGTTTGTATGAGGTTTGAGGTTGGTGAGCTGAGTTGGATTGTTTGAAGGAGCTGAGAGGTTTGGAAAGGGTTGGAGGGAGGTTTGCCAAACTGGAAGTTTTGAAGGAGGTTGGTAAGGTGAGCTGGACAGTTTGTAGGGGGTTGGAGGGTGGTTTGCCAAACTGGAAGTTTTGAAGGAGGTTGGTAAGGCGAGCTGGAGAGTTTATAGGGGGTTGGAGGATGGTTAGCTGAGCTGGAAGGTTTGGAGGAGGTTGGAGGTTGGTAAGGTGAGCTGGAAGGTTTGGAGGAGGTTGGTAAGGTGAGCTGGACAGTTTGTAGGGGGTTGGAGGGTGGTTAGCTGAGCTGGAGAGTTTGTAGGGGGTTGGAGTGTGGTTAGCTGAGCTGGAAGGTTTGGAGGAGGTTGGAGGTTGGTAAGGTGAGCTTAAAGGTTTGGAGGAGGTTGGTAAGGTGAGCTTGACAGTTTGTAGGGGGTTTGAGGGTGGTTAGCTGAGCTGGAAGGTTTGTAGGAATATTTAGAGGAAGTTGGTTGACTAAGCTTTAAGGTGTTGTGGTGATTAGTTAACAAAGCTGAAAGCTTTGATGGTGGTTGAATCAAGGTCATTACATCCTGGATGAGAAGACTTTAAAGGTTGATACAGCAGTTGAAGCTATTTATTGAAAGTTTGAAGTTATTTAGAGGGCATACCACTTCATTGAGGAGAGAGTTTACAAATATGCTATAGGATTAGAGAGATTTACAATTGATAGTGTGTTTAATATGTGTGAGAAAGCGAGTGGAACATTTGACAATGATGAATTACAATTTGTATTGTTCTTGATAGCCTGGATATGAATTACTCTACCAATAAAGGATAAGAATAGGTATTCTATACCAGTCTAATGTTGGAGTTTAGTGTATATGCCCCAAGGGCAAAGTCATTCTGAATAATGTAAGATAATGCAGAAAGTACAAAGGTCGGATCATAGAGTTACAGACAGATTTTAATACGTGGTCACTGAAGGACAGACAACCTGACACTTTTTAAGGTTGAATGATAAAACTGGAAACAAGGAAATATTTAATCTATACCACTTTTCCTATCGGCCACACTGAATACTGATGGAGACCCATTCAATATAGAGTTATAAACATTTAATAAGTGCTTTAAGTTTCCATGAAGGAAGAATCTTCTATACACTGTTAGGACACTGAAATTACATATGTGTACAGCATTAAGCAGTTGCACAAAAGTAATGATTGTGTTGTAAAATGATTTGACTTTGGCTCTCGTTAGATGTTACAAATATTTTTGTGTTCTGATGTCCAATGATGCTGGTACTTTCCAATAATGCAAGAATGTGTTTTGAACCCAATTTAAATTTCACTTGATTTCTTTAAATTTGTATTAAGGTGTCAGATTGGCAGGAAAATTTTGTTAATGAAGAAACATTGATATGCACTTGCAGTTTTTCTTCTCCTGTGGTTCACACAGTAACATTTTACCACAGGAAAGCTTGTGACTTGACACATCATTCTGCTTTATAATTCTGTTGACAAGATGTTAGTATTTTAATGCAACAGAAAATTTTCTGTGCAAATTTGACATAACATTGAATTTATAAGAAAACTGTTTTGGAAATTCAGATCAGTTTCTCTAAATTCATTAAGTAAGCAAGGATTTCGATACATTAGCCACATGAAGAAAATTGTTAAAGTGTTCATCATAGCGAGGCTTACTTTTGTAAGTTTCATCAGTAATTAAAAGAGAACGTGATAAAGCTGTAAACTTACATAGGACATGTTGTCTATTGTTTTGACTATGTTGCATATCTGTATGAAGGAATATCATGTCATCCAAGTGACAAAGTTAAACACAACCAAGATGCTGCTTTAACTAGAAAAAAAGAAAAAATTCTCAAAGTCCAACATTAACTATTCCCTTTACTCTGTCAGTGCTCCTATTACAAAAATTCTGTATAAATATCATACATGTTTATTGCTTTGATGAATTAAATCTTTGTCCAATTATATAATTTTCATTGGTTCTGGCTATAATGAGCAAGCTTGTTTAAGGCTCAAGAGTTACCTTAGCAAAAAGAATTTGAGCAGAATTCATTGGAATCATATGTAGCAAAATTGGCAACTCAATAATACATTGCAGTTCAGGAAGGTGATAGTCACACTTGGTAGGTGATTAGATGGTTATGTGTATGTTTGTTGCAGCTCATTTGATAATAACTGTTATTCACAGGTGAATTAGAAGTCTACAGAATATACCTGATGATTTGCTAGATGTACTGGAGGTACTTAATATTGCTTGTACCTAGTTAATTACCATCTTGGTATAAAATTAAAACATGTGGTGGTTATTATTGCAGTCAAAGGTTAATAAAGTCTTATTATTTGTATGCATAGTAACATGACCATTTCAGAATCATTTGGAATGTCTTAATCTTTTAGAAGCTTGATTTCTATAGAAATAAGTTTTCATTTTTCATGCATTTTATTATATTGAATAAATGTTATCAACATCACCAAGATGGTGTTAAGACAGTTGATGTGGGTTACAGGTGGTTATGTACATGCTAAGTTATTGTTATATCCAATAGATGTCGTCAGATTAATAACGATAATAATATACATGCAGTTCTTATATTCTTTTCCATTCCTAGTAGATGATTTTCAAAATTATGCAATTATATGAGGTTTTTAGGTGACTTTTTGAAATTAGTTGACCTTGAATGACTTTTGAAGGGACTGTATGTAAGTA